AAAAAAAAAAAAAAAAAAAAAAAAAAAAAAAAAAAAAAAAAGCGACTGTGATCATGAAGGCTATCTAATCTATCGGCAGCTATTCGCCAGGTTGCTGAATGCAATTTCGAGACAAGTAATAAAGCTAGGCACATGCATAGTCCAAAAGGTAAAAGATCCGCCAGCCGTTTCTGACATATTAGGAGAAGCAGTTCACGAGTTCAACAATTTCGAACTTTTCATTGCAGGCTCTCTCCTCTTCGACGCGCCACCCAATCAACCTTGCCTCGGATATTCCAGATAGCACCTGCAATATTTCGTGTGAGACTGGAGTGACCAAGAAAGCAAAACCCTAGGGACAGCAGTATCTTACCTCGATTTCTGCCGAATCAATCAGCTCAAGTAGCCGTCATCATTGAACGAAGTGGACTTGGTCGCGACGCCTTGTGGCCTTGCATTGAAGTGCCAGTTTCGGCATTTTGCATCAAGCGCTTCTGAGCAAATGACAGCGGCGCGGCATTGGTCGGTTTCGGCGCGGCGTCGTCGTTGTCGTGGCGTACATCATCCTCGTTTTGTGCAGACGGTTCAACTTGAGCAGGTCCCTCGCTCGCCACGAGGGGATCCGCAGGTCAGTCGTCGTAATATTCGTCATCGTCGCTGAGATCAGCCAACTGTTCAAAGTTGACCTTGTAGCGGAGAATGCCGCCAATGCCGCCAAAGCCCTTGACGAATTGGTTACCCTCAGTTGAACGGTCCGACACAAATTCCAGGTTAGCACCAAATTCTTTGTAGTGTTCAGCAATCCACTCAAGGAAGGACTCCTGGGCGATAATTTCCTTTTCCTGACCAGTAGCGGAATCCAGAAACTTGTCGCGATTGGCCTGTTCCTGCTGTTTTGACAGGTGCAGGATCACCTCTTCGCCATTGCTGTCTTTCAGAACCCAGCGAGTAATCTCAAGGTTCTCGAAAATGATGAGAGTCTCGACGGCACCAAGCTCCAAAGCCTTCAGGGTATCGTCGATGCCGTAGCACACCTTGCCAGTATCCTGGCTGATTTCCTCAAAGTACTTGCCAATGAGCCTCTTCTCCTGGATAAACTTGACATTTCCAAGAGTCTCGGAAGAAAGTTCAATGGCCTGGTTGAATCCGTTTTCACCACCGTATGACACATCAACGACCTTGATGACCTTGGTCTGAAGACGGTTGTCGAACATATCGGAGGCATTCAGGTCATTCTTGAAGTCGGCAGAACCAGCAAGAACAATACCAGCGACATTGACCTTGTCGTTGGTGATGAAGTTTTGCACGGCGAGTTCAGCGACTTTGCGGACGTAATTGTGACGCTTTTCTTCACGAAGACGGGCAAAACGCAGGGCAGACTGACCACCACGTCCGTGCTTCTTGGGCAAATCGACGGAGAACTTGTGAACGATGTCGCGGGTATTTCCACTAAGAGTACCAAAAAGAGCACCATTACCATCCATGATGATGAAACCAAACTTCTGGTCAGACTCGAGCAGCTCAGCCAGGGCTTCGGTGTGGAATTTGTTATCGCAAAGATACAGCGAGGTGTTGATGGGCTTGAAGGGCTCGAAGTCAATGTTGACCTTTCGCTCCTTTCCTTCCTGGGTCAAGATTTCGCCACAGTAGATGACCAGACCATTGGGGGGAACTTTGTTGTACAGCTTCAGACGGTTTTGGGTCGAGGTAATAGCGGACAAGACGGACTGTCGGTTAACGCGCGACTTGATGTTGGATGCAGTACCCTAGAGCGATGTCCAAGTTAACACAGGGCTATAATATGAGGGCCATTCTTTACAGCGGGTGTTTCGACTTACATATTCTTCAGCCAACATCTTGGCTGCACGCGAGACCTGATCCTTTGGAGCTGAAGTTTCAAGCTACATCAGTATGGGAATGTGGTGGGGCGGCTGTTGACACTGTAGAGGGGGACATACGAATGATGAGGGAGATCATGGAGGTTCCATTTCCTCTGGCAGCCTCAAGACTCTTGATGAGCTTCTTGATCTTCCAGATCTCAATCTATCGGCAGCGATTGTCAGCTTCGATACTCTGCACCAAGTTTTGTTATTTCTTTGGCTTCAGGTGGCCCTTGGTCACGTTTGGTGCTCTGCCATCGCGGGGCAGCACCGACTGGGCATATAGGCAGACAGAAGAGAGGGGCAGAGCGGCAGAGCCAACGGGAGCCAAAAAGAGGAGGGGCTGGCCGTCGCTGACACCGGCCACAGAGCGTAGAGCACAATTTTTTTACTCCCTCTGGGTGACGAGACTCACGTTCCTCTCGGCCTCGCTCGCTTGCGCGTCGGACATTGTAATAGCGGTTGTTCAAGACGTTGCGGACAAAATATTTGGATTGGTCCCGCGGGACAGGAAAACACTTTCCCTTGGACGATGAACAGGAAACAGCAGGGAATTCGGAGGGAGATGGGCGCTGTGCTGCACGCGATGAAACTGGAGAAGAGGGATGCTGGAGCCAGGTTTCGAGTTTTAAAAGGCTAAGAGATTTTTACCAAGTGCGGTTGAGTTGACCAGACTGTACTGGTATAGGTACGGAGTGAGTAACCCAACTAACGTTGACGCTTGGGTGGACGCCTGGTGGGCTCACAGCGTCCGCGTCGGGCCAGCAACTACCTACCTAGGTACTTTAGGTAGTTACAAACAGGGCTGGGAGTACCTAAAACCCCGGACCTGGACCACACAACTTGACCAGTGACGTTTCAATGTTCGAGTGCTTTGTGGACCACTGGACAAGGAGTACCCAGTACGAATCGCAAAGTGTCTGGTATGGTCAATTCAATCCTGGTGTCCAGCGCCCGGTTCGCAGGCCAAGTCCGCTTATCGCCCTGGACCTCAAGTCTTGTGTGCATAATTCATTACTCTATGACCTGCTAGCCCCCAAGTAGCTACCTACCACCTACATACAACTCCTTGGGGATGCTCCCAGATTGCCCCAGCCGGCTTATACTACGGTGTATACAATGAAGATTCAAGTCGTGTGCAGAGCCAATGGTTTCGCATACCGAGAGCAGCTCCTTCATCTCCATTAGAGATTATTCTCGCTTCGGGATAGAGATGACTCGAATTTTCATTGAGAGTCAAACACAGGCCCCGTGCATTCTTTAACATGCCTCGAGTTCGTAGGTCGTAGTGATTGACCAACTACCGTACGGAGTACTCCGTACTCCGTACCTACTCTAGATATCACTTGGATTTCCCGCGCCTCGGCCCTCAGACCCACATAACGATCCTCCTCCACTGAACCCAGACACACCGCCCGGCACTACCGACGCGCAACGCCGCATTGGACCTCCCCAGTGCCGTAACTGTTCCTAGTACGCTGCACGTCCAACTTGACCTTTGGCACATGCTGCTCCGTCACTGACTCACCAATAGAGTCCATCTCATCCAGCGGGCCGTTCTTCTACGAGAGGCCCTCTGCAGTGCTGTTCAGTCCAGACAGCAACTCCCGTCCGCTCTCGACATGGACTCCCTCCCAGCAGAGGTCGCCGAGACCATTCAAGCTGGCCATATCAGATTCCATCCCGACATCAACTTCGACATCGCACCCTCTACAGCTGCAGATCAACGAGAACCAGTCACCCTCCACAGCCCCCGTCTCAGCGATGACGATCTTCTGAACGATATCGAAGACGACGAGGAAGACATACCCTACAGTGTTCTGCACCAAACCCGCAAGTCACATAGTCTCCCTCCATTACCGGACTTGCGATTCGAGCAGAGTTACTTAAGGAGCATCGCCAATGCCGATACCTGGTGGAAGGTCTTGCTTATCACGGCAAGAGATCAGGTAAGTTGGCACTTCAGGAATTGTTGTTTCTTAGGCGACGTGGTTTCTTGCAGGGAGTGAGTTGACAATGTAATGCGCTGTGTAGGTTATGATGCCCTTGGCCCAAGGTCTTATTTATAACCTGCTGCTGTGTGGCTGGCAACATTGGAATAGGACTGCCAAATCACATGGCAACACAGCTGGCTCACGGGTGCGGAGATGGTGGTATGACGTTAACAACTGGACGATACCAAAGCGAAAGTTATAGCCTTGACGCAATTAATTCAAATGAATTATGTTGACTGACGAAAGTTCTTTTATGTATCCTCGTATCATTAGCCCTGGAAGGTTAGGCAACCTCTGCTACAGGCAAGCCTCGCGTCATTATGTTGGACGCATGGGAAAAAAAATATAAAGCCCAGAACTATCTCCTGGTCGTGTATTGTCCTCAGCTCGTCATGACGGTTAACGCCCACGGCTCATGCGCATACTGAGACCATTCAACTGGCCGCACATATGGCCAGATCCTCTCTCCGTCCCACTCATCTCTCCAATGGAAAGCACGTACTCATCAAATAGTACATGTATGCTCTAATCACAGACATAGCTTCCTGACCCCTCAAACTCCTGAAAACAGTTATCCCAACGCCATCAAACTCCCCTTAAGTAGTATCGTTGAAATCGCCAGACGGTGATGCCAGTTGAGCATGTGGCTTCTCAGGGCTCCCTCGAAAAGCTAAGGACGTGGAAGGAATGCCAGATAGGGTCGGAGCTCGAATGGCATCTATCTTTTCCGTCACATCGCCTGAACTTGTTTGAGTCGGCTCTTTCCTGACCCGCTCGGATGGGATAGTATGTGCCTCTGGTGCCGGCACATCCTGCATCTCAACGGTTCTGGTCTCCGGGACAGTGGTATCGACCTTCCAATCCTGTGTGTCTGGGGTGGGAAGCATGTTGGGACCTTCATCAATTGGAGATAGAACTGTTCTCAGCTTAGGTGTAGTGACGGAGAGTTTCACAACCAAAGTTTGGCGCTGATCATCAAGATCATCCTCGACCATGGCTTCTGCTTCATCAAAGTCATCCTCATCCTCAGACTCTTCGGGCACGTGGGCGTCCTCTTCATCATCTCCGAATTCAGCCTCGCTCTCCTCGTCGGTACCATCGCCCTGAGAGTTACGCTCAGACCAGTTATTTGTGTCCTGATTTGCTGCAGGGCGTCTGGTTCGTCCAGACGTACCAATTGAATGGTCATGTTCCAGTTCGGAATTTTCGCCTTGGATACTTCCAGGAGCACTATCGCCCGCCACCATGTTGAGCCGTGGTGGTGCCCGAATTTGTCTGCCACTTGACGTCGTTACTGGCCCGGTCTCCGCAGGGGTATTGGCCCCAGTATTGCGAGCTGATCGCCTGGCGCCGGTAGAGTCGGAAAAGAAACCATCTTCGTCATCCGAGTATGTGTACTTGATTCGCTTGCCTCGTGTACGGCCTTCGTACATAGAGAACCCTGGTTCTGGCCGTTTGAACTGCTCCTTTCGCATTTGGCGATATTCACGGCGCTTTCGTTTCTATGACGACCGTTAGCCTAGACTATTTCAAACTTTTCCATAGCTACAACGCAACGTGTGTGGTAGTAATGACGGTAGTCGGGGTGTTGTTTTGGTATAGCTCTTACCTCCTCACCAGCCTCAAACCGAGGAATGACTTGCAGCATCTTTTGGCTCAACCTTTTCGCCTTTGGACCACCATCTTTCGTTTCAAGTTTTTCGGCGAGAGCCTTCAGTTCTTCAATGGAGCCAGCAACACTGAACCAAGACCTGTTTGTGCCTGCCGGATTGCTCTCGCGATATATCCGAAAATTCGTGTCGTCCTGTCCTTCGACCAAGAAGTACCGTCGCTTGTCTCCATCAGATCCCCAAGGTTGTACTGATCTCGGCTGATTCATATCGTCTTCTTGACGATTTTGTTTGTATGCTGAATTAATCAGACCTTTAACAGTGTCGGAGGAAGCCATTGCCCATAGGATGAGGGTGCGCAACAGCGTTAGCTGTGCCAGGTTAGCAACTTAAACCGCCATGGACACTATACACACATACTCGTTCAGTGGGTGTCATAGAGTTAAATGTCGCACCGCCTGACAACGGGTTCTTGTCTTCCCAGGAAGCAGGCCACTGGTTCTTGTGCGACGTGATCGCATCTTCCAGTGCTCTGCCATAATGCCCCAGTCTATAGCGGACAAATTGCACTTCAATCAGTAACTTTCCAACATGAAATTATCAATTGCTTGGCTTACTTTACGTCTTGCTTTCGGTTCAAGAGCAAGCCCAGGATTGCGCATAAAAGGTGTTCTACTCGGTCGCCGGGAATGGGCTCGACGACATCGCGTTCTAGCTCCTGCGGCCCGAAATGAGCTAGGGACTTAGGAAATGCGTCGCTAAATCGGCTTCTGAACATGACGATGAACTACTAGTGAGTTAGCCGGTTGATCACATTCAGAACATTTGAACACGCGAGGATTCGCGTCATGGGTAGCCATCTACGCGACATTCGCGTCCCCGACTGACAACGACCAGATACGGCTTCAACGTGGTAGAGGAGATATTTTTTTCCTCCTTCTTCTCTACTTACCGCAATATCAGGATTATCGGCAAGAACATATTCATGTGGCGGTGACGGTGACCGTTTACGTGGTGGAGGCGATGGCTCCTTGGGCGGCTGCTCTGATAGCTTCGGGAAGAACTTCAGGATGCCCGACTTGGATTTGGTCGTCGCGTCATCGCTATTGTCGTCCAGCTCAACATCCGACGGCACTGGCGATAGCGATGGCAAAGATGAAAGGTCAGAGGAGTCGTCATCGGCAGTCATGTTGAGTTTGTCCGCGGTACAAGAAGTGAGTCGCGGTGTGTGGAGAAGTGAAGAAAGCCAGGAAGTCTGGGTTGCTCGTTGTTGAGCGTGCACTAGCAAAACCCACGGCCGCAAGCCGCAATCAGAGTTAACCCAATTGGATAAGCAAAAGAGTCTATCAAACGTCTTGTTCTATGCATGCCTTACGAACGAATCTAACTCCTTCTAAAATCCCCAGACTTGGGACAATGAGACAACTGGTATTACCGCTCCCTTACCTGCCTTGCCTCGCCTCGCCTCGCCTTAGCATAATGAGCCAACTGGTGTGGTCCCTTGGATCCTTCGTACAAACCATTCGGTGTAATGTTCCAGCATGATGCCATGGTAAGCATCTGCACAACAACAGGTGCAATCTTTAGGCTGTGATCAACCGTGCACCACCAAGCAATTCCTCATAGGATCCCTACCGACTTTTATATGACATATAAATGATGGGGGAGGTCCTCTGTCCATTTGTTCTCGGGTGTAGCAGTGAATTCGAACACCAACCGAGAAATGCCCAGAGATATGGCGCAAAAGGCCCAGATTCAACATCGAAGCTACATGCAATTTCCGAAAATGACTTCGTCGTTGCACAAGAAATGGGCTTTCCCAGTGCCGCCAAAGAATGATGGACTAACGACACCATCGCGACGTAACGGAGGCCCAGACGCAGTGAATCCCGTAAAACTAGGCACTGGCTCACAGCTCCCAGGAAAGAGACTCTCATCTTTCGGGTGCGACTAATAAACCAATTGCTTGGTTACCGTCAACTGCTCAAACAGGGATCGACTGTTCACGCTGTCCAACCTATACAGACAGTGGTCATTCGAACCAAGCGGCATCCTCACCCACACTGATTTCCATGGCAATGTCTTTCGAATTCATGGGGATCATGCTTCGCATGTCTCCCAAGCATCGGGTCCCTTTCCAGTCCCCTCACCCCTGTACTTAGGGTCTTGACAATGCCACAACGGCGGGTCAGCGATATGAATCGTTATCCGCCCGCCGAGTACTTCAAGGCTCGATAGAGTGTGAGGTTGGTGCTTGATCTCATTTTTGAGGCACGTTTCCGGCGATAACCCATCTTGATCGCTACTTGACAAGCTCAAGCTGACCTGGCCAACCCGTGAGCCTTTGTCCACAGTATCGTCACATACGGGAGCCCCAATTCTTCGGCCGGTACCACAGCCTCGGCAAATCGCCAGCCCACCTTGTGAACGTGAGTTCTTGCCATCTCAGTACCGAAACGTGACAACGATTCGAGACAGTATAATGAACTGAGTTTTAGTTAGCAGCAACGAAATATAGCACACAAACGTGTAAAAAGAAGAAGCAAATGTGTCACATGCATCACATAGACCATCTTGAGAGACTTGCGCGTCTTTACAAACGAGAACCGATGTTCCTCTGCAACTGCGATGAGCAAGGCTTGAGATTCAGATGAGACGACGTAGGGGTGCGGGGGCGATTTCGCGTCAAGTGCCGCACGGCAGAATTTGGCTCCTCGATGCACAGTATATCTCACAGTGTGTCTTTAGAACACTGTGCTATGACACGAAATATGCTAAGGAGTACTGTACTCCGTACTTCGCAACAGACATATGCTTGAGCAATTAGGGTAGTATAAAGTAGCCCATTATGTGCAAATATCAGAAAATCACGACAGAGGCCTTTACTTCCAGTACTAGTAGTTTGTTAATAGGGTATGCTTGGCAATGGCCATTTTAGCTGACCTCGATAACTAACAACTCACACCGGAACGAAACCCTGGGGCCAAGCTTCACCATGAAGTTGGAAATTCACCGGAGATACTCCGTGTGATTGGACCGACAACTCGCTTGCGCGGTCCACTTGGAGGTCACGTGGTCAGGGCTCCTCCATCGCTCGAAATGGTCCCGCACACAAAAAATTGTCGCCGAGTGTTGCATGTAACGCCTCTTTGCTAAAACACCAAGCGGCGGGAGCCAGGTAAATTCAACCCAACACCACGCCCCCGGCTCGACAATTTACTGACAGCATCTGCTCAAGCAGTTTACTCGAACGATTGCATCGAGTCCACACGAGCCGCCATGGGTAGAGTTATTCGCAACCAGCGCAAGGGTCGTGGATCCATTTTCAGTCAGTGCCGTCCGCGAAATTTCTCGAGCTCGATTTTCGACAACGCCTGGAGACAAAAAATACTAACGTTTGGAAATAGCGGCCAACACGCGCTTGAACAAGGCCCCGGCCAAGTTCCGTACCCTCGATTACGCCGAGCGTCATGGCTACGTCCGTGGCGTAGTCAAGGACATCATTCACGACCCTGGTTAGTTTTCCTTCTATGGCAAAACATTTATTTGGATATTGGTTTGGGATATGGGGATTGAAGGCTGATAATGGAGTTGTTATTTTCTTCTTTCAGGTCGTGGTGCTCCGCTTGCCAAGGTGACTTTCCGCCACCCTTACAAGTACAAGCAGGTTTCCGAGACTTTCATTGCCAACGAAGGCATGTACACCGGCCAATTCATCTACGCAGGAAAGAAGGCTGCTTTGACCGTCGGCAACGTCCTCCCCCTCGGTGAGATGCCTGAGGGTACCGTCGTGTCGAACGTCGAAGAGAAGATTGGAGACCGTGGCTCTCTGGGGCGCACATCTGGTGCCTATGTCACCATCATTGGCCACAACCCTGACGAGGGCAAGACCCGTATCAAGCTGCCCTCTGGTGCTAAGAAGGTCGTTCACTCTAGCACTCGTGGTATGATTGGCATTGTTGCCGGCGGTGGCCGTACCGACAAGCCTCTCCTCAAGGCTTCTCGCGCTAAGCACAAGTTCGCCGTCAAGCGCAACAGCTGGCCCAAGACTCGTGGTGTTGCCATGAACCCTGTGGACCATCCTCACGGTGGTGTACGTGTTCCCGACAAGTGGGATGTGCAGCCTGAGATTGATGCTGACGACTTTTATAGGGTAACCACCAGCACATTGGTAAGGCGTCTACCATTTCCCGATACGCCGCTCAGGGTCAGAAGGCCGGTCTTATCGCTGCCAGAAGGACGGGTCTGTTGCGTGGTACTCAGAAGACGAAGGAGTAAGGGGCTGGATTTCTTGGTCTCATTGGGATGGTGTTACAGTGGCTTGCTTGCATCTTTCGATGGTACTGCTGCGAGCAGGAGTCTGGTAGCTCAGAAAGCAAGTACTATGGCATTTGGCGTACACAAAATATTGGTTCCCTCTGCTACACCAGTGACGAAAATGGACGATGTGAATATCCGGGTTGGGCGTGATGTATTTGGAACAAAAAAGAACATTTCCTCATTCATCCATCTGCAAACTGTGAATAGTGCAAACGAGAGATGCAGCTCGACTATCGACTACACACCTTCTACCGGTTATGCCACATCGGTCTGACTCATCCAGGGTATGTGTGCGAGACGTGGTATAGAAAACCGTCAAACATCAAGTAGCGATCAAGGCGCCCTCTCACCTGGCCACTGTGTTTTGGACCAGCCATTATTCAATCTGTTGAAATACGGCGAATCATGCCCCCCTTTACACCAGGACTGGAGTTGAACCGCAGATTCTACCATGACCTTGTGCGGCCGCTATTGACAGCCGGCTTTCCAAGCCTGCAATACAATGCTGCTCTCGTTGGTCCAGGAAGTGAAGTGCTCGGCTTTGACACCGAAATGTCCATGGACCACGACTGGGGATTGCACTTCTTTGTGTTCGTGAAGGAGGGAGACGAGCTACAGTGTCAAAAATTGGCAAACATGTTAAGCCACAAGCTGCCCGATGCGTTTCTTGGCCTTCCTGTCTCGATACCGCCCGGGTCCTCGAAGCCCAGCGTGTGAGCATCAGATGCAGAGCTTACGGGTCCAATAAAGCATCAAGTCACACCGATCACACTGAGCAAGTTTCTCCTTAGACATGTTGGACTTGACGCCACAAGAGAATTGACCTCCATTGACTGGCTGACGCTCGCTTCTCACTCCGTGGGCGAGGTAGTCGCTGGTGAGATATATCACCACGGCCTAGGAGAACTCTCGCGGCTTAGGGATAAGCTTTCCTGGTATCCTCACAGCGTGTGGCTGTATCTCCTCGCTTCAGGGTGGCAGCGTCTGGGTGAGGGAGAGCATCTGATGCCGCGGGCGGCGCATGCAGGTAGCGAGATCGGATCAACCCTCGTCAGGTCACGGCTTGTCCGAGATGTCATGAATCTATGCTTTCTGACGGAAGAAAGTACGCGCCGTATCCTAAATGGTTTAGTCTGGCCTTTCGACAGCTTGAGTGCCGGCCAAAACTCGAGCCGATGCTCTGGAAAGCGCAGCAGGCCTCGATTTGGAGCGAGAGGCAAAAGTTCCTAGCTCAAGCTTACGAAATATTGGCAAGCATGCACAATGGCTCGGGAGTTAGCAGGCCTCTGCCAGATATTGCATCATGCTTCTATAACCGCCCTTTCAAGGTGATCCATGGGGAAGTCTTTGCTCAAGAGCTTGTCCAGCAGATCAGCGACGCCAAAGTGAAAAACATGGCAGTACAATGTCTTATTGGCAATTTAAGCCAGTGGACAGACAGTACTAGCATAATTGAGGGCAGACATAATGAAAGAACCAGGGGCCTGCATGAGTAGGAATTCGTCTGACGAGGTCCTAGACTCCTATGTTGCCTTTGCAACTGGTATGGGGCCCGGGTCGGAACGAAGTAGAGTCGGTCAATATACTCGGTACCTCTACGAACATAAAAGTGCCCAGTCAGAGTTCTTACAGCGCAGCGCAGCGCGGCAACTTGAGGGATATTTGCCCGCCAAAATTATTTGCGAGATAAACTGCTGCCGATGGTTTTCAAGTCCGAGACAGAAACCCGCAGCATCTGCCCCACCCGTGACGAACTGAGCTGGCCTAGATACTCCGGTAGACCCCTCCATCTCACAACTTGGCTGGAGTATAAAAATGTACCTGAGCAAGCCGCTTCGGCGTGCCCCGCCATCATTGATGGCTCGACAACCACTCAAAAAATCTCCCACCTTGTTGACCCTTCAACTCCGACTACATCATCTCTTCCAACCGTTGTTACATTTGCATTTGTCCTGTATCGCGTGTGATATTGTAATAATCAATCGTCGTCATGGCTTCTGTAAAGGAATACGGCCTTCTCTGCCTCGAGAACCCTCTTCTCGGTACGTTTGTTGTGGCCTCTCTGGCTGACTCTCTACTACGTTTTCCCCTCATAGTCAGACCCCACCACGATGATGTTGATGAAGACCATTCATTGTAAAATGCGCCCATGGCTTCCAGCTGACCACCACAACTTCCCGTCATGAGCAGATATTCAAGCCGTTGGTGACCAGGCCCTTCTCGACAAGTATGGTCTCAAAGCCAATGACGCTATCCTCGCCGAGGAGAAACACCTCCCTCTGTACGAAGACCTGCTCAACAACTACGACGCCAAGTTGATTGCTGGTGGTGCCGCCCAGAACTCCGCCCGTGGTGCCCAGTACATTCTGCCTCCCAACAGCGTCGTCTACCTCGGTGGTGCTGGCGATGACAAGTACTCTGCCATCATGCACGACGCCGTCAAGGCCGCTGGCCTCCGCGTCGAGTACCGTGTCGACCCTGAGAAGAAGACCGGCCGCTGCGGCGTTGTCATTACCGGCCACAACCGAAGTCTGTGTACTGACCTCGGCGCTGCGAACCACTACGATCTCGACCACTTGAAGAAGCCTGAGATCTGGAGCCTCGTTCAGAATGCCGAGGTGTACTACATTGGTGGCTACCACTTTACGGGTAAGTTCCCGCACATGGACTCATATGACTTGCCTTCGCAGCACGGGCAGCCTAACCGACAATGTCATGTGTGATACAGTCTGCCCTCCAGCCATCATGGAGCTCGCCAAACAGGCCGCCGAAAAGAACAAGATCTTCGTTCTGTCGCTCTCTGCCCCCTTCATTCCCCAGTTCTTCAAGGATCCCGTCGATGCCTCCGCCCCTTACTGGGATTATGTCATCGGCAATGAGACTGAGGCCGCTGCTTACGCCGAGTCGCACAACCTGCCCTCTCAGGAGCCCAAGGACGTTGTCAAGCACCTGGCCAACCTGCCCAAGGAGAACGGGAAGAGAAAGCGAGTTGCTATTATCACCCAGGGCACCGAGCCTACTCTCGTTGCCGTCCAGGGCGAGGATCAGGTCAAGGAATTCCCAGTCCATGCCATCGGCAAGGAGCAGATCAACGACACCAACGGTGCTGGTGATGCCTTTGCCGGTGGACTTTTGGCCGGTATCATGCAGGGCAAGGACCTCGCTACTTCCATTGATATGGGCCAGTGGCTTGCCAGGCTGAGTATTCAGGAGTTGGGACCTTCGTAAGTCACAGAATTTTTATTTTGTTCCTCTCTTGCCCTCCCTTCGAGCAATACTCATCATTGTTCATGCCGATCTTCTATCTGATCCTACGTCTGATTTATACGGATTGGATCATCATCGCTCACGAATATAACATCAAAAACGCTTAGCCTCGTCACACTCCTTACACCCACCCACCTCATAGCCATATCTTTCCAACTAAAAGAAAAAAAGCCATGACTAACCCGCTCTCATCATCCAGGTACCCCTTCCCCAAGCAGACCTACCAGGCCTCCTCTTAAAGCCTCATTTCAAGGCACAAAGATTTCATTAGGTAAAATGAGTGTGGTTCGGCGTTGAGGGCTAAAAGGGAAACGGTTTCAACAACGGCGTTTTTGCATCTGTGGCAAAAGGAGCCCCCGGAAGTTGTGGCTCTCTTCGCATAGCGATTCGGTATCCTCCACGATCCGATCAGTTTTCGTTCAAATTTAATTAAAGCACGTAAAAGATGCAAAATAGACATGTTTAAAGCGGCGTTCATATCGAACCGCCCGTCAGATTCATTGCCTTTCTTCCTTTTCTTTCTTCCCTCCCTTTTTTTTTAAAAAAAAAAAGAAAAGGCTTTAGAAGAGGCACTTCTTATAACTGTCAGGTATCGCTTGTGTACTTGCGGTCTCTCCCAGTTTCTTGCAAATGTACAGCTCGCGTGTCCACTTTGCAAAGTTTGGCTCAGCTATTGAAGGCTGCATTGAGAGCTCATCGGGGGGGATGAAAATTTCTTAAAACGTCCCTTGTTTAAAGGAAAAGAATTTGAAGGGCGAGAGGGAACATCACTTGTTACCGTGATAGGCCGTCTGCATAATAGCCTCGTTGTAGTTCAACGTAGTCTGGTCCATTTGCAAGTATCTCGCTGCGGTATCGGCGTGAGCAGGACTCGAGAACTGAGGCTCTGATCCCCCAGAAACAGGACCCATCCCAAGACCAACTACGTTTGCCGGTGTGCCCTGATACAGGCTGCTTGGATGAGAGAAAGTAGAAAGCCCCGTCGATTGGGGAAGGCTGTCCAAGGCTCGAGGCCCCCAAGGTGACACGGCAGGACCGCTGTTCTGCAACGTAAGCTGCTGATTGCCACCCCATTGGGTAAAAGGCGAGCTTCGCGGCACACCAGTCCCAGAGAACGCCTGGAGCAAGTTGTTCCTATGGGCAGTTTCCGGGCCCGAAACGACAGGCCCAGTAAAGCTCCGTCCGTTCTGTTGCTGGGCAGTATGACTATTGACAAGGACGCCATGGAGATTTCGTCCGGGAGTCGCAAAGGGGTCGTCTAAATGATTTCCACTGCTTGCAGGGCGTCTTGGAGAATTGTAAGGGCTGGCGCTCTCGCCAAAACCAGTTGATCCATTTGGCGTCATACTGTCAGCAGGCTTTTCAGGCTCAGGGGTATTGAACCAAGCCCATGGCAACGGAGCAAACTTTCCTGAAAGGACGGAGCCAGGCGGACTGCGCTCTGTTTGAAAGCAGCCAAGGACACTGTTTGCTGTCATCGTATGCATTCCATAAGAAGATTCATCCGTTGAATGACGCTGCCGTTGTTGAGGCTGTGGCGTGGGCGGCTTCAAGAAGGGAGACAACATTTCGAACAATGCATCGTCTGGGTCATCTAAATTTGCTTCGTCTCGAGCCCCTTCCTGCTGGGTCGACTGTGGCTGCTGGGTATTCGCGTCAGAATCCAAGTTCTTGCGCAATTGTCGAGGCTCTTCGGCCAACAAAACACGGCTTGGCAGGCTCCCAGCACCCGCATCTTCGTTGCCGAGAGGGTTCTTGGATGCCGTGTTTGGTGACGAGGTCGAAGTCTTGGCTGCAGCCACAGGCGTATCAGACGTAGGTTTGAGGCAGTATTCAAAAACGAGGGAGTTGTCGACAACCTTGTAAGACAATGGGAAGTTCGAGTCCTCGGCGAGGAAGTATGCACAGCGAAGAATGTCCAAAATTCTGGCCAAGTTTTCTTGGGACGGCTCCAAGCGAGAGCTGGGGTCTTGCAGGTAGGTCTTTGGAGAGCCATCTTCGGTGCAAAAGCAACGGCATTGCTGGGGGATGGTCTCCTCTGATAGAGGGCGAAAACCGCGGATTTCCAGATCCTCCGCGAGGAGATATGGGCAGTTGCTCAAGGCCTGGCTGTACGTGAAAATGCAGAGCAAAGTTAACACCTTGGCAAGATTCTGAACCAGCCGGGGTATGACTCCGCCAAATGCTTGAGCAGCAGCGCTGACTTCGCCCCGACAGGCAGTAAGCCACATACTATACAAGCGCAGGACAGGAAGAAGCGCTTCCACCATGGGCGTAATCTTGGTAGGCAAATTATTGGACCCATCACTCCCGATATCTTCGGATGCAGCTTCTTTCAGTTCTGACTCGAAGGCTGCACAAAAGTGTGAAATAAACAAAGCATTAAATCGTAAAGTAAACTGGTAGAAAGCAGCTAGAGACATTGATTCTGGCGTGGACTTAGCAATGAATAAGGAGCAGGAACCCAAAGTGATATCAGACGAACCTCTGTAGATAGTCGACGCGACGTGATGGGCAGAAAGATTGACCAATGTCATCTTGAGGAGCGTAGCCGTAGATTTCTCACCATGGCACGCTATCTCTAATTTGTGTAGAACCTCGCCTTCAAGCTCTGCTTGTTGCGGGAAGGTCTCACCCTTGTAAAAGAGGGCGTGGAGCCTAACGAACCACATGGGAAACGGATCCTGCGCTGTTGGTGAGGCGTTCTGTCGGGATCTCGATGAATTTGGCAGTTGAAGAGACTTGAACTCGGCTTCAAGATTGGCCTTTGCGTTCGGGTGAGGTGCGTCGACTGCCCAGGAGCGGTAAAAACTATAGACAATGTCCAGGTGATTGCCCTGGTCCAAATGAACAATGCCCATTTGGTGCTGGGCATATCCGGACTGTGGTCTTAAATGATGCGCAAGGCTGTAGAAGGTCAAAGCAGTCTCATAGCCCGAATTCTTATGTCTGGCTTGAGTCCTATACCGAGATAGGTCACCTAGTCGCAAAAGAGTTGAGTGGCACGATGTCAAAACCATGGCACTCAACCTTGATGGCACAGGGCTGATTTCATCTCCGCTACCCATCGGCTCAACATCAATGCCTCGGGCAACTCTCCTGAGTTCCGGGACATCGTACCGGGCCGACAGACGTTGGATGTACCCCTTGTAGAATTTCTGTGCCACACGGAGAAAGTTATTATATGACTTTTCCACCTTGCGTCTCTCAACGGCATGGGAAGAGTGCTTGAGTCGGCCCTGGATGCGTCGGTATTCGGAGTTGATCATGGTGTGCAAAGTCCACAGAGCATCCTCTGCATTCTCCTTGACGGCAAATGCGAAGTCTAAAAAGATGGTGTGGACGAATGCAAGGCGAAACCTCGAGAAGCAGTCAGCTTGTGGTTAATAAGAACCACGGATGTGAAGGGCTGATGAACATACCTCTCCAGAGTGCCTTCAATAGCCTCGAAATACGCAACGTCCACTCCAGAGGCACTTTCAGCTTTGAGTCTCTCCAGCTGCTTCGTCAAATGCTTCTTAAGTTTCAGAGCTTGGCTACATGTGCCGCTAAGTCAGCCCAGGTTCCTTGGGGCAAACATGGTGATTTGCTCTGCTTGAAGACGAGTGTCCAAGCCGCGATAGCAGAGACGACACCCAACGAGAGAACGGGATAACACCTACTGCCAGTATTGGCGAGCCTGAGGAGAAGGAGGAGGAGGAGAGTCCATATCGACTGGTCCTGGGCTTGTATGGATTTGGCCAGCCGGGTTTGGGGGTTTCCAGACCCGTCGTGAATGGGTGATGGGGCACGATCAATGTAGCAAAAGAAAATATTGTCAAGGTCTTTTTGTCACCTCATACTCTCGGACAAAATGACAATGAGCCACCAGCAATGACGAAGGGTCAAACCACCCGTATGCCGAGTTGACGGCAAGGAGGAATGGCTAGTACCAGGCTCGGCTCGCGGAAGTCTACTTGCTGCGCCGGGGAGGAACTCATTGGAGATGACGGGTGGTTCTGACGAACAGCGCAAGGGTCGAGGATGGAGGGACGAGAAACAGGGACGGCGAAGGAGTCAAAATCCGGCCAAGCAAACTAGGGTCGAGAAGAGGTTCCTGCGCAACCCGGCAAGATAATTGCGACAGCAGAAGGGAATAACAAAAAGTGAGTCTGTGGCGAAGGAAAGGTAAGCCGCTTCTGAGCCCCTCAAGGCGACGAACGACTACTACGTACTTACCTAAGTAGATTACCAGGTTGCCAGGTTGCCAGGGACTAGAAGAACTGGGTGCTGGGATCAGCCACTGGGGGCCATGGCTATATGGCAAATGGCAATTCTTCGGCCGCGGATCCACGTCTTGTTGCGCGGGAACAACCCGGCCGGCCCCAAGCCACTTAGATTCATGGCCAAGAAAGAGTCCAGAAACTATTAGTTAGCAGCCAAAGCAAACCTTAAAATGTTGAAATACAATTTAAATCCCTGCCTAACATTCAATGCAATACATACGTACTTCGATTAGAATGTCTGTGGCGTCACACGGTTCACTACCTACTTGTAGGTACCTGCCTCATGTACTTGCGCGCGGTCAAGGGCCCGAGGTGGGACGGGGACTTATACCAGAGTTGACTTCATAGAGACAGAGAAGCCAGCGCCTGAACCCCACCAAACTACATCACCCGTCAACTCTTCCATCAACATATTAATCTTGCTCATTTGCTCACTTCACTCTGCCTCTCAGCTGGGATAGCGTCCCGTTGGTCTTTGCAACACTCTCCCTCCCACGTCATCTGGATCGACAATCACAACGATGTGTAACACCCACCACATTTATTATTAGCTTCGCAACAGTCCGTCTCGACCACTCCGCCAATCCTCCGCCACCGCCTCGACATCCAACATTGAAACCCCGAAGTCATCTTACTCGGGACAGCGCCGACAAAAAGTAATATTTTTTTACCCCCACAAACTAAACTCTCTTATTAAAGATGAAGCGCTCACGAGAGCCCGAAGAATTTCTAGACTCCAATTTCCAGGACGGGGATACAGAGCTGTTTGAATTTCGAGACTCAAGCCTACAAACCGCCAAGATATCACAACTTGACATTGCAGTCCAAGACGAAGACGACGACACACCCATAATGAAATGCTCGCTGCCTCCTCACGAAGAACCAATTACTTTCAGGTCATATCAGGAATTCGAATCACACTACAGCATGTTTCACACAAATCGATGTCTCGAATGCCGCAAGAACTTCCCGTCAGAACACTTGCTTGGAGTACACCTTGAGGAATATCACGACCCTCTTATTAGAGTTCGAAGAGACAAGGGTGAACACACTGTAAGTCCTCATTTATATCGTCGTGTTATTTCTATTTCAATAGAAGTTGTCGACAACGAATCGGTGTTGACATAGGCGCGCAGTTCTCCTGCTTCGTTGAGGGATGTGAACGCAAATGTCTCACTCATCAAAAACGCAGGCTGCACATGATCGACAAGCACATGTATCCGAGGAACTTCTTCTTCGGTGTCACCAAGGAAGGTATTGACGGAAGACGTTCACTCCTGGTCGAAGGTGATCACCATCGACGGAGATCATCAACAGCCTCAATATCTCAGGAATCACGGCGCAAGGCAGGCATAGAAGAGCAAGAAGCCGGATCAAAGCGTGATGGCAAAAACAACAAACCACGATCCTCGGATACTGTCAAGGAAACGTCGTCCAAAGGGCAAAATGTGGATGCAGACATGGCCGATCTCACGGGGGCCATGTCCGCGCTACAGTTTGTTCCTCCCAGCGTTCGATTCGGCCGTGGCGGCCGAGCAGGGTTCTCGAAATCATGAAAGGAAGTCACGAAAGAGCGACTGCATATTGAGTAATGATCAGTAACGAATACTTATGCTTTCATAATGATCGGTCAAACGAAGGATTCTCTACCTCTTGTGTCCCCTCATTTTAACTTGTGTGTATCCATCAACCTGTTCGCATTCATCCGCAAAATCCCCCAGTTGTAGTTCATAAACGCCAAACACCGTGATACATCATTTGTGCGTGAGCCTGTAATATTGCGTAGTCCATCTCAGTCACTCGATGCGCACCCTCTACATCCACAGTTGACGCATTGAACGTCTCGACTCTCCTTGATTTCGACTCGAGGGACTCTACAGATGCACGTGCTGTTAAAGTTGTTCTCTTTCGTCTGGACACACCGAAGACAGCAAAGCTAGCAGCATATTAGCAATTTTTTTTTCCCACAATTCACTAGAAACGAATCAAGGCTAACCTTCTCGTAACCCTGCTTCTTCCATTTTGCGATCAACATAGCATCCGCGTATCCATTCTTCAACAGCCAGTCGTACAACTGTTTGCTGATGGCTTCCTTCTCGTAGTACAAATCATACACATATCGACTCCGCTGATGGGATATCTGGAAAATCTCCCACTGTGCTTGATGTTTTGGTCCTGGAGGAGGAGGTTTATTCTGGGCATCCTTCAATTTGTTGGCGAAGATGAGCAGGTCATCCTCGATGTCGCTAAAGCCCTCTGGTGGCGGCTTTCGTTTTGAAGAGTGTCGAATCGCGGGCATTATATTTCGTGTATACGGCCAAAAATCTTCCTGGTTCCGTGAAATATAACGGGGTGCGAAGGTTACCCCGAAGCTGAATGAAGAGAAAAAGAATGTTACGAGTCCGTCGAGTCCTCGCCCAGGGTCGCTATCAGATTGTGGCGTCAACTCCCAAAAGTGGCGGATTCATCACGTGACAGATTATCGGAGACGGCGTGCGCGGTACACCTTGTTTGACAAGTTCAACGTCACAGGACAGTCCAAGTTGAGAAGCATTGACTGCCGCCATGGCTATCACGCCGACCCAATTCGCCAAAAAGACGGCGCAATGTACGCTGCCCTCCATGTGTTTATTGCCAGTGTGCTAACAAGATTCGTAGCGGCCAACTGGTCGGATGCGAAGCGTCGAGTTCTCTCCTCCTACCGCGAATGGATCCGAGCTGTATGTCCTCCCATCGCCAATTGACAACTTGTCACGAGAATATAGTATCATGTGAGGGGCTGTTGCGAAACGGAATCGATATCGGTGGACAAATGTTGTCATGTATGGTACACGAACCGCTGACGAGGCAAATTCAGGCTCCCGAGATCCAAACCATGTATAACATGCCCTTGCCCGTCTCCGCGATCCGGACGCGGGTCCGTCAGGAGTTCGAGCGAAACCGATACGCGGCCAAGCTTCCTGTTGTCGATGTGCTTTTGTTCAAGTCCCACGCCGAATATCAGGTACGCTTGCTTCTCACAGGACGAAACCCTACGGCGGTGGAGGATTTCATAGGCTAACGAATTGGGAAAATAGGAGATGATGAACTTCTGGAAGCAGACCACTCACGTCATGTCCTACTTCAAGGAGGAGAACTTTAGAGGAGACAAGAGGCTGCCATCGAGCTTCATGGATGGATTTTTGGAGGTACGGCGACCTTCACATACCCGGAAAACCCGAGAGTACACACCACAATTACAAATACTGACTCTATTCACAGGGCCGAAATTAGACAATAGCAAAAACTGCTGTATATATAGATTTCCTTTATGAAGAGACTTTTATGCAAAGAACGCCGCAAGCTCCTTCTATCCCAGTCACCAGACGATTTGATGCAGGTGAACTTTCGTGACAAGTAAAACACATGTTAAAAAGAAGACAAGGAATGAAAGTCCCCACAGATGTGCCACGATGTTACAACCAGAAAATAAATCAACGCTCAATGCCATTCTCCGCATTGAATGCTTGTCTCTTGGTCCAGAACTCATCGGAAACCACATCACACACATCCTGCAGGTCCGCCAAGCCTTTCTTCAAAGCATCTACGGCCGTGCCCGCTATCAGAGTCATTCAGTAAATCATCATCTCACTCTTAGAATCTTGACTACATAGAAATGGGGGTGAAAAAAATACATACAGTAGGTCTGAATCCTAATGTTCATCTTTGGCTCAGACGGGTGAGGAATAGCATAAGCGCAAAACTCAACATCAGGACTGCAGAAAAATAGTCAGTACAAAACGGCCTGTTTTGACGCAACGCACAATAACACTCACTTTTTCATGATGATATACCGCAACGCGTTCCCGAGGGTATGTCCCTCGTCCGTAAACTCAAACGAGGCAGCTGTATCTGTAGAACCGGGCAGCTGTCAATGATTAGCAAGGCCTCACTGCAGCAATCCGTCGTGGCGGAAATCGTACAATCTTGACTCGTTGTGGTTCAATCTCCTCCTCCTCCTCCACCTCCTCCTCTCCCTCTAGGGCGTCTCCCATTTCGGCATCTTCAACGGTAGCCGCCTGTGCGGAAGGCGGAACATCATCCATGTTGGCGTCTTGCGACGAGTCTTGTGTTTTCTTTATACGGCCAGGCATTTTAGCATATATCGGGCCACAAAATTCTCAGCGCCGCCGCCAGAAAAAAAAAACCCTTGAAAAAAATGGAAGTCCTTCGGGAAGTACAGTATGAGTGCTTTATGGGATGAGTTCACAGTCCCTGCAGTCCTCGTGGGTTGCGCCTTGTCCAGGTTTTTTGGCTCTTTGATGATACGATTCACTTATCCAGAATTTTTGACGTCGATACGGCGGAATGCGGTGGGCGGTCCTGAGTGTGGCGCTGGATGCCAAGAGAGGTAACCGCACACGGATACAAGTATAGTGTGAGTTAGTGACTCGATTCACCAATCATCCGAGCTTGGCCCGGGTAGCTCAATGGCTAGAGCGTGGGACTTTTAATCCCAAGGTTGGGGGTTCGAGACCCCCCTCGGGCGGAAATTTCTCTTTTTGCCTTTGAAGACAATTCCTGCGGTCTTGTTTTGGCTTTTCCACTATGTTCTCTTTTTTTTTTGGTTGTAATGACACAGGTGATGCGGTGTGATGTCGGGTTTCTGTTCCTTCTGCTACCTCATTCACGGGAATCACGGCACGACTTGACGGGATGACAGCCAAGTCTACACGTGCTATACAACATGGTGGCCAGCTACGGAATACTTGACATTGGAACTGTGCGCCCTAGCTATCGAACTATCTTTTTAGATATACAATATATTAACGGCGTTGGCGGTGATAAACCTTAGATATAGGGTAGCATTCATCCATTCCCCCAGCGAGTATCCCAGCACCAAGCCGCCGCGAGCCGAGACTGTTTAACTGTGTGTTGGTGATGAGCGAGCTCGCTACCGATACCTCGGGTTGGTTGTGCATATTAGTCACATACATACAGCGACATGACAATGGAAGTGCGTCATAATCCGGTTGTTTACTGCCCCCTTGCGTAGCAAAATGATCCGAAGTCTTTGCTCTGTGGACGCACACTTGTTGATAGCCGAAACAAGCCCCATGAAAAGAGAAAAAGAATCCAAACTTGGGAAAAAGAAAAGAAGCAGGTGCACGCTTACAACATGGCTCGGTGGCAAACAATATTACATGACGCTCGTGATCAACAGACATGGCAAGTGACTGCCTTTGCATGAAACGTCACAGTCGCCAATCGGAACCGTGGTGTCCTGTCACTCTGCCTGTCAGCCTTGGCACATTTGGCGCCCGCCGAGCGCACATTTCTCTGCCCCGTACGGAGTACTCCGTAGTGTTGACACCAACAGACGATCCGCATTTCACAAATGCCCATCAACTCGTCCGCAACGGATGAACGACCCAAGGCAGGCACTCGAGGACTCGGAACAGGCCTGACAGGGGAGGAGGACCAAGGGCCGTAAGGCGGTGCTGCATTTGACCCCACTGTTGCAACGACGACCTGAGACGACGACGTCTCAGGTCCAGCCCACCGACGGGACAGGGGATGCGGGCCCCTGAAGAGAAAGTCTAGTAGTACCTAGGTAGTTTTCCAAAGTCCATGTCGACTTCGGACTCGACGGGTTCATGTAGCGAGAGGCGATCGACGGCAAACCCCACAGTGAAGAAAAACAGAAACCTCCCATTGTGCAAAATCGAAACCAACTTGGAGAGCATACATGTATGCCTCAATTGATAGCTACTCGAGTAGTCGTGCCATTGTCCCGGCAAAAAGAAAAAAAACACCAGACCCGTCTGTCCGCTTGCGGCCAGTGACGCTTCCCTGTCACCTGGAAAACAACTCATCACCAACAGGCCCAACCTTCATGCGTCACCAGAATTCTACAAACGCAGACCGCCTGTTCCATACGGAGCACGGAGTGCCGAATGCACATCTGGCTGCGACTCGCGCGGCACTCGTCGCTTCACTTACCCATGACGATCTTTGTCAAGTCTCTTGGGTCTTGACAGGCGGGGTCTTTCTAGTCTGAAGATTGGTGTGGTGTGCCATGTTCGAGGGACCTTGTTTCGCTTGAAAACCAGACTCCCACCCCCACGGCCAGAAAACGGCCATAGGTTGATGGGTCGAGCCGGAGGGGAGCAAGGAGCAAGCAAAGGAGGACCGAAGAAAACAAAAAGAAGCTTTCTGCCATCATGACTACGTACTAACTACTAGTACTACGGTACTACCCTTGGCGCAGGGTATGGTGTGCAATAGGTGGACGGAGTACTCCGTATTGGGCACAAAGCATGATTGCGTTAAACTAATACTAGGCACCTGAAGTGCCCAGCCTTGAACCTTCATGCTATTGATACTGCGCTATATTGGCGCCTCGAACCGATGCTAACTCGTCGTATTTTCCATGTCTTTGCTCGATAATCCGGGCAATGAGAACACAATGCGCTGGGCTCCATGCTCGACGGCAATCTCCGAGCTCAAGCTACTATAATCAACGAGTGCCCCCTTTTTCTCGGACAATCAAAGCATTGTCAGCTACTTTATGAATTGTTCGTCTCTCGCCGTGGCCAGTGTATTACAAAGAGTACTCCGTAACCGCGAGGCAGTAGTCCTAGACGCCTCAAGAAATATGGCTTCGCTTTTCCGTCTGACAGTAGGAGACCAAGAAGAAGCAGGCCGGGTGTTAACATGTCTGGCCTTTAATACCAGTCAAACATTGGCAGCGAGGTGCCGGAATACATAGTCATCCTTCAGGCCACGCAAGGAGTCTCTAGGACACTGGCAAAGAAGTACAGAAAGTAGACGCTGAGGTGAACATGATTTAGCGAGAATCTCACGACGGCCCCGGCAATCATCTCTTAATACAGGCCCCTGCACGCTTATTCTTGCTGGTAACACAAGCGTGGAGTCTGGATGACGGATAGGGCTGCGGTCGTGTTTCTTGGCTGGCCACCTGCACGTCTTTCCCCAAGGACTCGCCCTGCTGTCAATCCCGTCTTGATGAAATTACCACCATCATCCATGGAATGACGGTCGCTCGTTGGGGACGGGGGCCAAGAAATTATGTACATACCTCCTGCGTCATGTGCGACCCATGTTGGATATTTCTATGGCCTCGAGTCCGGATCGTCACATCAGTGTCGTAAAGACACGACTGTCACAGTGGGGAATGGTGATAGTTAGCATGAATATGACTCTTCGCGTGTTCCAGGATGATGAGAGTTTTGGTGGAACAAACACTTCAATGCTCGCACTAACATCCAACTCAGCATTTACCCTCGACGACAGGCAATTAGAGAATACGACTCGATAACATGTTCGGTCGAGAAGCCAGGGCCATTCGCTAGGCCATGATCTGATTGACAGTTCGTGGTCATGTCGAATGCATGAATCGTGAACATCATTGGTCATTATATTCAATGTCAGTATTAGTTCCGATTTGTGATATCGTGCCTTCATGGCGCCACACTATGGCGACCCGATATGCCCGATATACCGCACATATATCATCAATTGACGATTTCTCCTTGCACGCCGTTGCCCGTCATGCCGAGATCGACTCTAGTGCGGTTCGTTGGACTGGCCCACGTGGATCATGGATCAAGCTGAACCAAGTTGGCACCTTAACTGCTTTCGTCGTCGTAGTACCAGATGGAGAAGATTGACAGCTTCGTACCTGCATGTAGCATGGCGACAGTCGAATTCAAATCTCGTGACTACATACGGAGTATGCAATCATCTTTTCGTGCGCGCTATATGCCCTGTGAAATGGTTTCTGAATCGGCGCTTCACGTTCAGTCTCTCGCTGCTGCTTCTTCAAGTTATCAACTTATCACCATACTGGTTATTTTTGTCTTCCAACGCTTCTACTTAGGGTTTTGCTGTGATGAGAGCAGTTGGTGCCAACTCGTACGAACATATTTCGTCAGAACTCGCCATTTCAGAAACATAAACAATCGATCCCATGCTGGAGTCCCCTGGAAGCTCTATACAATAGCCTATTGTGGAGATGGCTACAACCACTCCGTAGTAAAATAGATAGTATCTGCTAACATGCCGCGGTCTACCGTAGCGCAGTGGTGATCTTACCAGGATGTCGTATAAAACACTTTTTGTCTCACGCTGGGTTATATTGGAATTTCTGAATGAACATAGCATTTGTGTCCGTTCTACTTACATTTGTCGCAGCTATTCCGTTTCGTGATAGGTCTGGTTATCCCCATGAGTGAAAGGTAGCGACCTTGTCATCGAGCGCAAGCGTGTGGCAACAACTGATCTTTGATAATCGGACACTGCGTTGTGCAAGCGGCGAAATAACCTGACAGTTATTATTCGGTCTCACCATGCGAACCGTACTGAATATCGGCTTAGGCGTAGCCTTCCTAGAGCAAACTTCAGCGCAGGTGGCTTGTTGGGTTTGAGTGGGTAGATTCCCATCTGGGGACTCGTTTACTTTGGTCTGGACATGTTTGGGCATGGCGTGCTGTGGTTAAACGATAAATCAACTAGGCTCCTGGCTTGTTTGTTGTTTGTCTCATGGACCATCGTGACCAATACGGCGACCCAATCAGAGAGTAGAGCGCCGATTCTTTCCAGGGGCTTGAGGTGCAGCTGCAGGAGATGGTGGAGGGTGGCGGCGTCTGTGAGGATGATGCTACGGAGTAAGTTGAAGGTAAAACAGACTAGACCGCGGCAGTGGGACGGAAGACTAACGCCCTGTCTAGTGAAGTCAGCTCTTTCGGCGACCTTGGGGCTTGTCAAGGGATGCCGCGAGGCAATCCGACGCTGTGGCTTCTTGGCGGCGATTCGTGTATATTCAAAAGGAAGCCGACTCATGCTCAACACGCGGCGGAACGGCCAGAAGATGCTGTGTCATTTTCCTGGACACAGCAGGGGCAAAAGGAGAAAAAAAAAAGAAAATACTAGGGAGAACAAACATCCATTTAGCGCCGGATTCTCTATGCAAGAAAATGCCAGACGGTTATCCAGGCCATTGAATCTTTGCCCCAGAAGCTAAACCGTGCTGAACAAAAAATCCCGAACTCCCTAGTATCGATTTGGGCCATGAACTCTTGGTCGCTTCTCTACTAATACGAGTCGATCCTGGTACCGGGCCAGCCAGCTT